ATTCTATTGTAACACTTAATTTAGATCTTAGCAATGTGCCTCATGGTAAAGGTCTCTGGAAATTCAATAACTCTCTTTTATATGATAAAGAATATTTGAATATTATTAATGAAAAAATTGAAGAAATAAAAAAAACAATACTGTTTACCTGTATATAATGTAGAAAATATTGAAAATATTAGCAATAGTGAACTATCATTTGTTATTGATGACCAGTTATTTTTAGAAACTCTGTTGATGGAAATAAGAGGAAAAACTATTTCTTATGCAAGTTTTAAGAAGAAGAAAACCAAATCTAGAGAGGATGATCTAATATCACAGATTACATATTTAGAAAAAAATTCAAATGATCCTGGATGTTAGATTATCAAACTTGCAAAATGAATTGGAAACAATAAGACAAGACAAAATTAAAGGTAATTTCATACGCTCTAGAGCAGAATGGATTGATAATGGTGAAACACCAACTAAATATTTTTGTAATCTTGAAAAATATAACTATACTTCAAAATCATTCTTTTTTGGAAAAAACTAATGGTACCATTATATATGAGCAGTCAGAAATTTTAAAAGAAAGTAAAATATTTTATGAAACATTGTATACAAAAACTGATTCTCCTGATGATTTTAATATGGAAGAGTTCTTAGGCAACATAACTGTCCCAAAATTGAGCAGAAATCAAGCAGATTCGCTAGAAGGTCTCTTTACCTTTGAGGAAATTTCAGAAACACTTAAGAATATGAAAAATGACAAAAGCCCAGGGTCTGATGGTTTTACATCAATTTTTTTTAAAGTTTTCTGGAAACAAATTGGACATTTTGTTGTCAGAAGTATTAATTATTCTTTTATTAAAGGTGAATTATCACTTACCCAAAGGCAAGGTATAATTACCTGTATCCCGAAAGAAAACAAACCAAAACAATATTTAAAAAACTGGTGACCAATAACTTTATTGAATTATACTTTAAAACTAGCCTCAGGCACTTAGCCAAAAGACTTAAGTCAGTTTTAAATTGTTTGATAGATACAGACCAAACAGGATTTCTAAAAGGAAGATTTATCGGAGAGAATATACGATTAGTCTACGATATAATGAATTATTTAGAAGAAAAAAAGAATGCCAGGACTATTAGTAATGATTGACTTTGAAAAAGTATTTGATACACTTTCTTTTGATTTTATAAATAAGACTTTTGAATTCTTTAATTTTGGCCCAATTTTTTAGAAAATGGATATCTCTTTTTTATACAAATACTGAAACTGCTGTTCAAATGAATGGATTTTTTGTCTAACTTTTTTAAAATAGGGCGTGGTTGCCGTCAAGGAGACCCAATCAGTCCTTATATTTTTATCTTATGTGCCGAAATATTAGCCATCAAAATAAGAACTAATAAAAATATAAAAGGTATACATATCAACGGAACAGAGTATAAGATTTCACAGTATGCTGATGATACTCTTTACTGTTAGATGGATCTGATCAGTCTTTAAATTGTACGCTTGATATTTTACATGAATCTATTATTTCTGGATTAAGAGTTAACTTTGAAAAAACACATGTTATATGGATTGGCTCTTTAAAATATAGCACTAGATCAATAAAAACTAGGTGGAAATTAATTTGGGGTAGTACATCATTTAGATTACTTGGTATCAACTTTCACGTTGATTTAGAAAAAATGATAACTTTGAATTATACTGCAAAAATTGAAAAATATCAAAAAATATATCCAGTGTTGGAAAAGAAGGGCTTTAACACCTATTGGTAGAATAACTGTTGTAAAGTCACTGTTACTTCCTTTATTAACTAACTTGTTTATATCACTTCCAAATCCAAATTCTCAGATGTTAAAGGAAATAAGTAATATGTTTTATGATTTTGTGTGGCAAGGTACACCAAAGATTAAATCTTCTGTATTGGTGAAAGAATATGTAAATGGTGGTCTAAAAATGATTGATGTATGTGCTTACATGAAAAGTTTAAAACTTTCATGGTTAAGAAGAATTGTATCATCTGAATGTGATAAATGTTACACTATTTTAGAAAACTTTTTAGATATTAGGAAGCTATTTAATTGTGGAAAGTTATATACAGCATATATACTGTAACCCAATTTATATTCGCGAATACAAATTTTCGCGTTTTGCCGAGGCCGGACATATTCGCGAATATTTATTTCCGCGTTTTTTTAATTTCCGAAAATTTTTTTTTCGCGGATTGGAAAGTCAAATGGAGCCGTAAAATCCATTAGCCGACTATTAATCTTCAATAATTGAGGTCATTATTGGTGTCTTAAATGGGATTAACAATACGCTAGCCTTATATTGTATTGGTAAGTGAATTGTGATCACAATTCAGCAAAACATTTTCTCTATATGTACATGTACGCATCGTTCGTCTTCATTTATAAACATGTCGTTAATAAGTGCGAGTACTTTGTATGCATATACTTAGTATAGAAGTGTAAATATGAAGAAACTTAAAACTGACACATGCTCCGTATAGTACCCTATACGGAACGTGATTGACAATAGGCCTACTAGTATTTCATAAACTGTATTAAAATGTGGATGTTTATTTTGATTACTATACTGACATAGAATTCTTTTGATATTTATAAAATAGTAGTAGTTTACTTAGTTTGTGTTTTTATTGCTTTATGGCAATATTCATAACAATTCACTACTACCTAACAGGTGCCCGTAAAATTCGAATATATCCAGTCAAGTAGCTTTGCATGAACAACGTCTAAAATAAAAATTTCTCTCCAATTTATTCGCGAAATCGTTGCGGACTTATTCGCGCAAACAAAATATTTGCGTTTTTCGTGGGCCATCCGCGAATAAAGGAATATTAATTGGTCGCGAATATTGTTGGGTTACAGTATTTTAAATATTTTGAAAAATTCATTTTGGAAAGATGTTTAGGTGCTTATGTAGAATTTGTAGAAAAAACACCGATTATTTCTATGGAATTGTTGTTAGAAATGCCTCTGTTCTATAACCCAATTATTTTTGAAAATGGATAGAAAACCTATTTTTTATTAAAAACGGTATGTAAAGGTATAAGGTTTTCAAGATATTATGAATGTGAATGGGTATTTTCCTTGAAAGGAATTAATTGGAACAAGATTAGGCATTAAGTAAACTTCATTTACTATGAAATTAATTACAAGTGCTGTCAAGAAATACAGAAGTGTATTAAGTTTAAAGTTTAATGCTGAAAATTATGAAATTGCTTCCATTCCTCCATTATATTTGTTATTTAAAAGTCTTATACTACTTTGGTGTTAAAGGTACATCAGACATGTACAATATATACATAAAAAATGATGATATTCCAACTTGTCAGACTAAATGGAACACTTGCTTTCAATTAAGTCAATCTGACTGGAATAAAATACATAGTTGGGTTTTTGACATTACCAATGATTCTTACTTGCAATGGTTTCAGACAAGACTAACACATAGAATATTAGCTACTAATTATCTTCTTTTGAAAATGAATTTATCTGTTATAAGTATGTGTACTTTTTGTAAATCAGAACATGAAACATTGTTACACCTATTTTGGGAATGCTCATTTGTCAAATATTGATTACAGAAATTATTAAAATTGTTAGGAATCATGATGCTTTATTTTGATATTGATTGTAAAACTTTTATATTAGGTTATACAAAAAAGAGCCAGTCAAAGTACAATATCCTATGTCTAGAGATAAAGAAATATGTTTATTTATGTAGGAGAAAAAAATATTTTACCAAATATAGATGGATTTAATAAGAAGTTTTAAATTAGCCTCTTCAATTATTGATGCATGTGCAACAAATACAAAAGATAACATAATGAATTGGACAATTGTTCAAAAAATCATTTAATTCTTTTTAGAGTAATGTAAATTTATAATTTATTAATATACAGCCATTGCTTTTTGTTAAAAGTTTGAGTATAAGAAACAACAACATAATGTTTTATTACTGTTCAATCTATGAGCTACCTTTCCTTTTTTTCTCTTCTTTTATTTCCCTTGTGATTTTGTTTGTATATTATTTTGTGTATGTACATTTGTATATATTATTGTGGAAATGTGAAGTTGTGATTAATACTCAATGACAATAATCAATAATTGTTACTAAATCAACAAATATTTGATACATGTGTATATATAATATGATAAATAAAATCTTTGTAAGGTATGGAGGGGGATGCCCTCAACCCCCACATACCCATGACGAGGGAAATAAAAAAAAAAAAAAAAAAAAAAAAAAAAATGAAACAATATTAGAAATCTTCGACATTCTGGGACTACTTTGCTTGAAAATTAATGCGCCTGTCATTTGACAATCTTCACGCATTGATCTCCCCTGAATTTTTCGGCATTAGTGTACATATAAAGCGAAGTAACCGCTTCAAAAAAGTGGACTACTTTAGACATTTGCAATGAACAGCATTAGACTCTGAAATTTCGCTACCATTATTTTTTTGGTCTGACGACCCAAACAAATAAAAAAGGATCTGGGTTTAGTTTATGTTTCATATCGTACAATTGCCAATTGTTCAAATATATTTTCGGAATGGATTCTGATGTTCGAAAAGTGTGTAGAGGTCTATGGCGAATATCTTATATTAATTGTTTACAGATATGACTTATTAATCAAAACAGGCTGTCGTTGGTTGTCACTTATTACAATATGCCCTCATTGACGCCAGAAAAGGGATTGTTACAAAATTACTGTCAGTACAAAATATATCAATTCTGATAGTTGACATATAGTTCAAAGTTAAGTTTGTATTTTGGATAGTTTTTGTAGAAAAAAAAGACAGTAAACGAAAGTGACTTAGACATTCGAAATTCGAAACATTTTGCATGAATGAGCAATACTGAATTATAAGATTTTCTGTTCACTTGCAACTTAACTGTAAAAGTGTTCGAAAATATATCAGAAACAAAACCAATGCATGCGGGGATAACGTTTTCATTTTAGTGATATAACTTACCGTAACTCATATTAAGCTTTTCACAATTCACTCCGTTCGCACCATTTTCAGAACATTTTGAGTATGGAAACTCAGTTGGTTTATACACAACCTTAGGTTGAAGAGACACTGAAATACATCAAATGCAGAATAAACATTAGATATGTTTGTTCATAATAAAACTCTGGGTATATAATTCTTAAGAAATGAAATTATTGAGAAATGGGAGAATCCTGGACATCAACGAAAACAAGAACACTTTGACTGATATACTTTTACCAAACATTTTGTTAGTTCTTGCGTATTAACTAACTTTAATGGAAAAATATTAGTTCACATAGAAAATAGTTGTTAGAATTTATCATATACATTTGTAAATTATTGTATATCTCTTAATCAAGATATCGCAAATTCTTCTTAGTAATGGTAGTCTTTTTCCAGCGCTTTGAACAGTAACACAGAGGGAAGATTACTTCTTTCGAAATAAGTAGGCATGGAAAGACAATACCAGTACTGTGTTTGCTATGCACTGTTCATTCTGACTAACAAAATTGTGTAATTTAAAACTCAATATATTCTGACATACGATTTTTTTTTGTAAGAAGTTGTAATATAGTTGTCTAAAATTTGCTTAATCTACAGTATGAAAATTGTCCTTTGATCATTGTTTTACCGTAAATCTATTGTTAACTAAACAATATGTCTTCATATTTATCTATGAAGTGCAACATTCTTGGATATTGTCAGAAATAATATTAGCTTTTGTGTTTGAAATGCATGTAATTATGAGGATAAAAAATGGACAAATCTGTTGTTTAACCTTCATATCTTTATTGTGATATAAATAAAACATTGCACATATTAATTATTTTGTATTGAATTATTGTATTCATTATCAAACTTAATCACAATAAAAAAAAACATCAATGTCATTGTTTATAGTGTGCGAAAAATACAGGATTTACAGTGTACAAAAATGCACTAATACTGAATATCTAATGCTCAATATAAACACAAAGGAATGAATGAGAACGGGTCACAGGAAAGCAATATGTTAAAAATTGTTATTTATTAACCATCCTCAGAAATAAAAGGGTTATGAAATGAACATTACACCTGTTTGTTTTAGGGAGGGAAAGAGAACGTCATGTATTAATCAATTTAATAATATAACTAATGAAATGGTTATGGTAACAGAGTGTGAAACACAACTTTTATAGAAAATTGAATAAAGTGGTCTTGTCCGGTGAGACATTGGTGAAATAATTACGCAAGGGATATTTTCACGACCACCTTCCATTCAGAAATTTCCAGCAACGGGATAGGCAAGTTAAATTTTCTGTTGCATAAAAACAATCAGGTTTAAGCAATAACTATTGTGTATTTTAAGTTGCATTATTTTGGTTTTGGGTATAATTAAATTTATCTAGAGTAGAAATTATGCACTAAACTGCTTGAAAGGAAAATGTGTGAAGCAAATTGGCATTGCATGTAGGTCTCCATGTGGTTTGTCTGGTCAATAATAAAAACGATCGAGATATCTACATTTATAACATAAGAGAAGGCATAAAAGTAGGGAAGACATTTGAATATGTATATACAATACATGGATTGATCCGAAAAGCTGACAATTTCAGGGTTCTTTTATCCATAACAAATCAAAGCATGCGGCAAAATTTTTGTCAGCCTTGTTGAGATTTAATACATGACTAAATTTGCAGTGATACAATGAATTAAAACAATCGCTGTTTAAGATTAGTTTTTTGACACCTAAGCACTTTCAGAGTGAGGAAACCTTTATTTTATTTATTTAATATTTTTATTTGTAACGTTACATTTGGAAGTGTTTCATGTGGATTGGGAAAATATTTAACTATTTTTAATTGGGAATTTGACCCAATATCTACTATAAAAGAAATCAAATAAAAGAAAAAAATCCCTTAAAAGGAATACGTTTTACAATAGTAAACGGTTTGGGTAGGACAAGGTGACTAATATTAAATGTTAATTGAAGTTTACAAGTAGTTTTAATATCTATTACAGTTTAAATTAAATTCCATTAATGGCAATTTAATGTTTTGCGATTTCATATTCAAAAGAACATGAGATGCTCTACAAGAAAACGGTAACCACCTGGCAGACTAGAAGACCATGCCGACAGGCAGAAACAGAAAAGGCGGCCATTGCAAAGCTCTCAAATACATCCTAGGACCCCTAAGTCACCGCTTACAACACCCACAAGGCCAAGTCGGTCACGGCTTAGGCCACCAACACCTCCTTCTTGGGCACCAACACCACCGCCCAGGGATCCTACATCACCTCACAAGGCACCCGTAGCACCACCAGCTGACATGAGGCAACAGTGGTTTGACCAGATGTTCAAAATGGCAAACGAACAAGGTAATGTTCAACCTTTTATAAGTGTCAAATCTATGCTAGGGGAGTTTGTTCCCCAAAATATAAAAAATATATGATACAGAGGCAATATATAGATATGGCAACATCAGTGTCTAATTGTCACAAAAGCGCCATTCCACAAGACGAAAATGGGCGGAACTTGTTATAAACGGAGCTGGTTAATTGGAAATGGCCCCCTCAAATAAAAATAAAATAAAAATGGTCTGATGCATTTTTAGTATTTGCAACGTACATCTAAGCGCTTACCCCACAGACACTTGGCACTTTTTTATGGGTCAATTATTAGGACAGCAGCTAAGTGTAATTTACGTTCAGGGTGGCAGAGTTATGACTCTCGATTTCGGTTAAGGCTAGGGTCAAACTCGAACATGTCATTTGGGGTTATAGATGACGAGCTATGGATACTGTGTATGTGTCCAAGTATAAAAGCTATATTTACGGGGGACAAAAAATCTATGATTTCAATTGCTTTTTGCACAAAATTGGTTTGCACTAACCGCCAAGTCTGTTCAAATTGTAGAAATCACACAGTTAGATTATGCAGGAGGCAGACAAAAACATGCAGGTGCATCGACCAATGCGACATAGAGCGACATTCATGCAACAAAAATTTGTGCAACGCTGGCCAAGCAGGCAACAATTTAGGTCCCGCGTTCCCTCTAATACACCAAGATATCAAATGTAATTCTGATGCTTAAACTTCAACATGTTTACATCTAGGTACCTCACCAGTTAAAATTCAAATACTAGAAAAATACTTGCAGCATTTTTAGAATCGTATATATGCCAATATTTTAGCAAATGGGTTTAAGCATGGTTTCAAAATTGAATACAATTGGCAAAGAGTTGCATTTGCATGTCAAAATCTTTAATCTGCTTATGAACATAAAACACAACTGCAGGAAAAAGTAAATAGAGCATCAGCACTGGGTAGGATTGCTGGGTAATTTGATAAACCTCCATATGATAATCTAAGTATCGCTCCAGTAGGAATTTTGCCGACGTCTGATGAGGGTTAGAGAATGATCATTCTTAGGTTTAGAAATTGATACGTCCAAATTATTGGTCCGAATTCCAAATAATAGAATTCAAGAAATGTCCCAATTAATATCAACTATAGTTAAAAGAAAGAAAATATCGTGACAGGAATTACAAAGATTAGTGGGAATATTGCTCTTTTCCGGACAAGCAGTTGGGTCAACGAGGGTTCTATGATGCAATGATTCCTTTAAGGAAACCTTACTATATGCTAGAATGCCACGAGAAATAAGAGAGGATCTAAAGGTTTGACAGGCATTTTTAGAGAATTTAATGGGGTAGCATACATACCAGAGAACAAATGGTTTAGTAGTGATGACCTTCAGCCATTACAGATGATGCAGGACCAGACATGCTAGGGGGCAACTTGTTTTTTTTTGGAGGGGGAATGGTGTTTCCTTGCATGACCAAGGTTATGGAAAGGTTATTAAGTTATGAGAGATATTATATATATGGAAATGACACCAGCAGTATTAGCCATTCATATATGGGGAAACAAGTTAAGAAATAAAAAAGTTATAATGCATATTGACAACGAGGCTTTGGTAAGAGTTTTCAACTACCAAGGTCAAAAAGGTTAATGCAACACGTCAGGTACTTTGTGCTAAGTGTACGGAAGTAAGCATTTAACATTTTTTCCAAACACAACAATATAGCTTTTGCTATTTCTCGACGACAGTGCAGCCGTTACCGTTGAGTAGCACAATGGGCAACCAAGGAACCAGTGTAATACCACTTCAATTTCAGTTAAAGATCTCTAGATTGAGACTAGAATATTGTTAAAGGAAGCGTTAGCGCAAAATACAATTAAAGCATACAATACAGGGCTGAATAATTTTCATAAGTTAAGACATAATCATGGCGGTATGACCATCGATTCAAGAAGTAACAGTGTATGTCGCATTTCTATCACTGCAGCATTTAAGCTTTAATACGACATAACTATATTGAGCTGCCATTAGTTTCCAATTTAAAATGCAGGGTATTGCAGATAACACAAAACATTCTGTAGAAAAAAAGCTGTTAGAAGGGTTACGAAGAACAGCAAAGGCAAAAAGAGTGCGCCTCCCAGTACAACATAAGAACTACTTTATAGCATTCGGACTTAACTTTTGCTAAATCAGTATGAAACCATTTTGTTCTCTTCGGCAAATACTCTTGCATTTTTTAGGTTCTTTAGGGTCGGTGTGATAACAGTAACAAAAAGGGGATAAACAGATCAGTAGGATTCTTAGCATTCAAGATGACCGATTAGTAGATAATGGAAATACAATAATATGTTCAATTAGATACTCTAAAATCGAACAGTTTGGTTATGGGACAGATATTAACTTTTCAAAGTATAGTCGTATTTCCATTTGTAAAGTTGCTGCTTTGGCTAGATATAAAGTTATAAGACAAAAGTGTGTCGGGCCTTTGATGTGGCATATAAACGGTACCCAATGACTCGTTACCAGTTTGCGTCAGTTTTGAAAAAGGCACTTTGTTTACTTGACCCACAGTTGGTTCATTATAAGTGTCACAGTTTCCGACAAGACGCAGCGTCGGCTGCTATTAAGTTGGGTTGGTCAGTTAAACAAATGTTAAGGACAGGGAGGTGGTATTCAAGTGCATATTAGTCTTATGTACAACCGGTTAAAGTTAGGGGTCTATTGTAATGGTGCTAGATGTATAATAACTCAGTTGCAATATCTAAACTGTCAACTGTTTCACAGTTAAAATAATTGTATTTTTATTTTTAGCCAGGTAGGCCAAACGTTGTTAACAATAAAATTCAAAGTAACTGTATATTTCTTATTGAATTAATTGAACACATTATGTTCTTAAGATATGTTGCAACAGTTGTTTTGACCGTGACGCATCTTTTAGTATTGTTTAATTTCTAGTATGCATTGTAATATTAATGCTACATGTAGCTGTTAATATAAATGTCTATTTGTTTAATGGTAAAGTACAGACGACTGAAGGGCCTTAGTTAAGCAGTCCTTAAGCTTTACAGGCATACCATGCGTGTGGGTGGTAGGATTAACAATTATTAAATGGGCTTTCCTGTGGGCAAGAAGAAGAGGGAAGTAGCCTAATGCTTCCAGGCAGGCTATGGTGGCAATGATATGGTTGTCTGACCCTACGAAGGACTAAGGAGAGACTTAAGATTCTGTTTAATGTGGAACAGAAACATCAGATCCCATTACTCCATATAGGAGGCAATGATATAATGAACACGCCAATTAAGGATTCGATAAAGGTCGTTAGTACTTTATTGGTGATAAAATGTCAGAAACATAGATTGTATGGTCTGAAATATTATCTCGGGAATGGGAGCAGACACAAAAAGCATTACGTGAAGAAAGCAAACGGCTCAATGCATATATAGTGTAGAATGTTAAAGGAATGGGCGGTTTGATCTGCAACATATTAACTTAACCGAATATAATAAAGACAATCATACCAGGGATGGAATACATTTATCAGATAAAGATAATGAACATTTCATAGATAATATCACATTTGTTTTTTTGTTTAAAATGCCCCAGATCATTTATGTTAGAAATTCAAATGTTATGTTTTTATGCTTTTAAACCTCAGTGGAGTCCCTATAAGGGTCAACAACCATGATTGGCAATGTAAATTAACGCTAAAAACAATTTGAGAGTTTTGTTAGATTGTAAGGTTTGCGGACATTTTGGTATGTAACCAAGTACTAGGCCCGTTTCTGATAAATACAATGTATGTTTAATATATTTAAATAAGTACAACAATGACTTAATAGCACACATAGTATTTGAAAGTCAGCAAAATTAAATATGTTGGCGCTAGATACAAATTTGAGATACATATATATGTGTATGGGTCTGTGTGTGTATGTATATATAAACTAAGTAGTATTTTGCTACACAATAGTTTGCTAGATGCAGTATTCAATTTGCTTTTGTATTTGCAAAGTTGCTTTATACATTTTTGCTATATAATATATTTTAGTGGCGGTAGAAACAGTGTCAAGTTTGTCATTAATAAGGGGGCACCAAGCTCCCCGGCTCCGCTTTATGTTTGATTTGGTTTAAAAAGGCGCTATTTACTAGTTTGCGGCGCTTAGTGACATATAATTTTAACTACAATAAGGATATTTTAATCGATAAAGCAGTTGGTTTAGTGATAGTTGACAATTGCTGGAGTTATTATAGCATTTAATTAGCAGATATAAGGTTCATGCCAAGATTCCACCAGATCTAGAATAAAGGGTAAATCGAAAATACAGAATCAGAATCTGGTATATTGTATAATTATTGAAAATACATGTTATAAATAGTTTGGGCCTTGTTTGTTTTTTAGAATAGCTCAATGAAACATAATGTTAGACAATTAAAAGTTTGAAAACAAAATGCAGGAAGTCTCCATTTAAGACAGGTGTCAGTCAAGGAAGAACGCGGACATAAAATATAAATAAAATCAAGTATAGTCGTGGAAAGGGTAGTTAAGGCAAACGGGGCTCCGCGTTTGTCTTTTTCTGTCATTTGCCTACCAAACAAGTTACAGTAAAGTCTGGCTTAACGACCGATCCTAAATTGTGGGCAAATTGATATTACGACAACTTTGTTTGCGGTCCCGGTTTTTTTTGCCTATATAATTCAATGGCTGTAAGGCCCGAAATTACGACCGACCCGCTACTACGTATTACGACCGCTTTTAAAGGTACAAATTCTCACTTAGCAATGCAAAAAATGTCCAATATAAGGAAAACTAATTAACCCCGCTCGCTAACTTGCACGTGACACCAATAATCTGCAATAAACAAATAATTTTACAACACTTAACGACCACCGCCACGAAAGTGTATCCGATTTACTGTACACGGAAGAGACGTTTACAATATCAATTAACAGTTTGAAATTTAAGTGTCTATAGATGAGATAATCAATGAGATTAGCGGTTTGTGATTAAAAAGAATATGATTGAATGTGTCAATATTCCTTTCAATTTATTATTTTGGATTGATGCAAATCAAAGACAGACGACCAATGTGTTAACAACAGACACTTTCCGATAGGTAGGTTATTTCGTCTATGTTTAATATAATTATATATTTTACAATTCGGAGTTAGAACTTTTACCGCAATTGTATTTTGAAATAAAATTAAGAATCATTTACGGAAAATAATCAATTCAGAACTAAAAATAAAGTTGGTTCATGAAGTTTTAAATGACAATAGAGATTTAAACAATTACAGATATGATTTATTTTTACTTAAACTAAAATAAAACGTATTTATTTTTTTACTTTTAGGTACGGATAATCCTGAAACAAAGGGTGGGCATTTAGATTGATGGGGGAAATAATGCATCCATCCAACACAAATGAGTATGCAAGAGATCACCAGAACTCAACTTGACCGAAGAATAATGATTAAAATGAAATGTTCTTGTGAAACTGCCAAAAATAAATAATGTATTTTCAATGTTTTTAACTTGTATAAAATGATGCATAAATGTGATACTTTCAATAAATAAATCATCTTTTTGTTGAATAAAATTCATGTAAATTGGTTTATGTTATTCAAAAAGTTATGTTTCGATGATCCAAATCGCTAACGATAACCTCCTACTCCAGAATACATAATAATAGTAAACATTAGCATTGGTCTCCAAATGAAGACCGACTCGATAATAAGATCACTTTTACCAGGACCCCAAAGTGGTCTCAATAGCGAGACTTTACTGTACAAATAATAATATGCTAAATTTAAACTGTCTTATCTAATCAATATAATAAACGACTTACCTGTATTTAAATAGCTGACAAAAATAAAGATGAAAAAACACCTCAAAGCCATGATGGCTTGATATAAATCTTTAATTTTACACTTAATCCGGCATATTACGTTAGAGAGAAGTCTTCACCAAAATTTCGAATGAATCTGCGAAGTAACTTGTTGCGCAGCGCGATCAAATCCAAGTGAGAGTTTAATATGACTCGTAATAACCAAATGTAAATGTCATTTCTTTTAGAATTTGGCATTTCCTAGCAATGTATTATTCACTAATATAAATTAAATGCTCTTCCCATACTGAATAATCAAATATATTTTAATAAAAATAATTGGGTGCGTTTTATAATGTCATATTTTGATGATATTTCAATTTCCTGTATGCAACTAGGGATGCTACGTTTATGTGTTTAAATGAGTGTGGTCGTTTTTCGCAATTATCAAATAAATGTTATATTTGGATGTTATTTTATTTTCCAAGATATGCAGCTGTGAATTTATGTCAAAACTTGGTAATGGTGGTGCAAAAATATAAACCAGATAAAAAAGAGTCATGGTAACACTATTTTTTTCTATGGTCTATTGTGTTGATTTCATTACAAGTGTCGCCACATACAATAATACTAATCTCTCAAATATATAATTCCATTTCCCTTTATAATATTCACTTAATGAGATCATTACTGACTGATTTAAAAAAGCAAGCATATTTTTTTTTCTGCTGTTGCTTTTTTTTCTTTTTATATAAATTTAAGTTGTTTTCTCATAACATAAGATAATAACCACAGAGAATAACGTATGATTCTGTGTGTGCGTGCGTGTGCGTGTACGTGTGTGTGTGCGTGCGTACGTGCGTGCGTCTGTGTGACTGCGTGTGATTGAGTATATTTCAATACGCCTCCAGTTGCTCATATGAGCGAGTCCTCCAGAAGAATATTAATCATTTTAGACTTTGAAGGATATGGCAAAATATAGAAAGATACACTTATTCGAAAAGCTTGTTTAGGTTCTTTAACATGCCATGTGTCCGAGCACTCATACACGAAAGCTCGTTTTAAAATCTCTTCCGAGAGAATGTTTCATAATTTGGCCAACACGAGAATCGAACCCCAACATCAAAGTTATAACTGTCGTGCTCTAACCGAATGATGGCTGGCCAGATAATTGGTTTTAATTGTTCAGTCATAAAATAAAACTAAATGTTTCAACGATTTTCAGGTTTGCATACATAATACAACGATCACATGACGTTTCTGCTTGCACAGCGACAATTTAGTGAGGTTGCATATAAAGAAATAGTTAGGCAAATATAAACTATATAAAATATATAAACGAAGTGTTGATGGTTATGTATTTATTGATTGGAGGAATAAGTATGTCAATTATATACCGTTTACTTCTTTAGCCCTTCAATATTCGTCATCGAACCACGTGACCTCTGAATACAAGTTTTCATTTAATCAGTTTAATTAAATTTGCTTTAAATGAAAAAAAAAGATTATACTAGTTATAGGATACCTTACATTGACAATGCCTTAGCTTCCATAAGAACATTTAGGCCACTTCAAACTGGGCAAGGAGTCCCACAGTGTTTCCATCGCCACGCAATTTAAGTCGATGACATTTTTCGTATATCGCTTTGGGTTGGAAATGATAATACAATTGGTTTTCGGCAAATGCAGATCACTATTATTTAGTTGTTTAGTTCTTTTTTCTTTATAATTGCGTTGGTACAATAAATCAACACATTGAATGCTTAAATTTTACGGATAAGTATTTAGTGGTTTAAGCTATGAAGCTTATCCGAAATACGGTAGCTATATTTATATATATCTATTGATGTAATGGTGTAATATATCTGTCATATTTGTACCTATTTATTGATGTGTTATTTTTAGCTATCTATCTGTAATCGTCTCATATTTGTACTTATCTATAGGCGTCATATATCTGTTAAACATGTATTTATACCTTAAATTGTTAGCATGTGTACCTTTCTCTTGATGGTATATATATGTAGTATTTGTACAAGTATATTGACGTCTTATATATCCGTTATATCTGTACATATCTATTGATGCCTTAAATCTGGTATATTTGTAAGTATTATATAATTATTTTCAATATCTGTTTTGCTTTTTCACGTAATAGAGCATATTTTACAAGTAATTTGTTAAATAGTTGAGCAGTATTTGACTAATGTTACAGAAATATGGTCATATATGTGAATATATCTATATATCATGACAATTTACTTCACTTAAATAATAATAAAAATGTTTTGTATAAACTATCTATACTTATTTAATATCTCAACCTTATCACTCAAATCTTGTACCGATATCAGGTCTGAATTCAGCTCGAATAAAAAGCAATTTTGGTTCGATATTGTACAATAATCTGCAGCGCACATCTCAGTCACCATCAAATTAAACCGATTAGCAAAACTATTTGATATACACCCATTATGCTGATATATAGAAATAATTGCGATGTAGTAGCGGACATGAAGCTTTATATTGACTTCAACATTTATATTTTTTAAAAAAAATTATCCTTTCTTTTAAGCCCTACGTTTAGGACATACATATGTCTCTTTTTACTTTTTACAATACTGACACTTATGAAATTTCGAATGTTTTATACTCATATTTAAAGTTAGTATAAGTTTTAGACCAGTTGATCCGATTTCACCGTATATCTTCCATTTTCGTAAAGAGATATTACAATATCCATGTTCAGCTAAACATAAATGGATGGCAAGGGATATAAAGTTTCACAACTTCAACTTGTAGATGAATAAAGTACTTCTCATATATCACTCAGTATTTAAAAAAATGCTTTTAATTTATTAATTGTTATTCAGATATCTCAGGCAGGATAAAACATAAATTTTGACAAAAAATATTTGGATAGGCTCTCTTAAGTATATTACTGGATCAATTAAGTCATTAAATGTTAATGTTATTAAAATACTGCAGAACATAAAACTAGTATAGTTACGTGTCTGTACATAAAAATTACTGTTGTTAAATTATTAACTTTTCGTTATTAATCCCCAATCGCTCTATAGCTTAAAAACTAATACAATGTTATAAAAATAACTCTAGCAGCTTAAAATAAGCAGCTACTCCCAAGGTCAAGGTCATACTAACAGGTCAAATATATAAATGTCAACATTTCATGTCCGATCAAAAACTTTTAAATTTATCTAATGAAAAGCTTTGTGTTGTTTCTTTTTTTTAAAAAAAAAATCTTTGGTAAGCACAAATGATGATCTGCTATGGCCACCGTCATACTAATAGGTAAAATATAAAAAGTCAACCTTTCGTGTTCTCTCGGTGAATTTAATACTAATAAAAAGTTTTGTTCTGTTTTACTTAACACAGATGATAACCTTTTTAAGATGTGCAGAATGCAAATAAAAAAAAAAACAAGTCGCTAACATCTAGGTTAGTATCACATTTAAAGGTGCGCAAAAACAAAGTTGCTTCTTCGAGGTCAAGGTCATACTTAAAGGTCAGTCAAATTTTATAATTTGTACTGCGGCAAAGCTGTCTTTTTGAGTGTCATTATTTAGTGTCATTATAGTGTTTCAATATTTTACAGGTTGTTTTACACCTAAAAACTGAAGAAATATTAAGCATAGTGAATAGTACGAGACATGAAAAATGAAACAGACGCGACCTACACAATGAGAGACCAATATGAAAACAAAATGAACCCTACATGAAACAGAAGAAACTTATATGAAAGAAACGACACCTACATAACTTATCATATATACATGAGATAGACAATATGTACAGTAAAAACCCTCAATTAAGACCACCATCGCGACTGGACCAAAGTGGTCTTAATTGCGGGGTGGTCTTAATTGTGAATATTCTTATCAATGCTTACACACTTTTTGACCATGGTCTATTTTATTCATTTTGTACGATTTATATACCTGCAAATTCAACATAAAACTATGTTATAAATTAACATCTGATGAGAAAGAAAGAAATTTAATATCAAATTCTATTTTGTCTGATTTCAATATCAATTTCAATATTAATTATTATTTGATGTACATAATTCACCCTTCAAATAAAAAAAATAGTTCTTCGCATTATCAATGTGCTTAAAGCAAGATTAAACCACTCTAAAATTTACTTTCTCACCTTATTTCATACAATATCTCAATGATAAAAGGTGTTTTTGACACCTTGTGAAATTAGGTGTCATGCCTTAGAGCATTCAAGCTGAAAATAACAGCAAATTTAAGATCTAGGTAGGTGTTGACTTTAAATCAGTGGTATCAATAGTGGGGTCAAATAAAGAAAAAAATAAAGAATTGGGACTGAATCTGGTGGTCTTAAAAGTGGATAAGCGAGGTGGTCTTAATTCTGGATCATGTTACCATTGATATAAAGAACAGAACATTCCTTAAAAAATGGTCTCAATAGCGAGGTGGTCTTAATTCTGGGGTGGTCTTAAGTAGGGATTCTACCGTACATGAAATAGATGAGACTTACATAAGAAAGATAAGACGTTCATTTCAAAAACGAAAATTTCATCAGAAAGATCAGCCCTATTTGTAAGAAAACAAGAGCCATGTTAGCATGGCCATCCCCGCCAAATGTGGTTGCTCATTGGAAGAATGTAAATGTAGTAGACTAATTCAATTTTAAGAGGTCTTATGGGAATGAAAACTGATAGCTGTAGTGATTACAAATTTAAAATCTATATGAATACTGATGGCTGGAAATAACAAAGGGTAATAACTGAACAAAAAATGCAGGGTAGGTTATCATTCGTGTGTGCTGCACTCCTCCTCATTGAGATCTATCAACCTATCAAGTTGATACCTCTTACACTTTTTGATATAAGCTCTGGACAAAAAGTATGAAAAATAACAAAGGGCAATAACTCAAAAAATATAAAGGGTAGAGTTATCATTCTTGCGCACAGTATTCCTCCTCAATAACATCTTTTCACCCATAAAGTTTTATGTTAACATCTCAAATATAAGTTATTCTCCACTCAGGAAAAAAAATAAGTATAAAAAATACGAAGGACAATAACTAAAAAAATATGAAGAGTAGGGGTATCATTTCTATGTACTACATATTTCCTGAGTAAGATCTATCAACCTATGTAGTTTCATGTTGATATTTCAAAGGGTTTTTAGTTATGCGCTGAGCAAATAACAAAGGACAATAACTGAAACATAATTCAGGATAGGTTATCATTCTTGTGTGCTGCACTCTTCCTCAATGAGATCTATCCACCTATGAAGTCTCAAGTTGATACTTCTAACAGTTTTTGAGATAAGCTCCGGACAAAAAGTATGCAAAATAACAAAGGGCAATAACTCAAAATTATAAGGGGTAGCTTCATCAAGCTTGCGCCCAGCA